TCTTCTCCTCCTTCTCCTCCTCCTTCTCCTCCTCCTTCTTTTCCTTCTCCTCCTTCTCCTTCTTTTCCTTCCTTCCTTCCTTCCTTCCTTCCTTCCTTCCTTCCTTCCTTCCTTCCTTCCTTCCTTCCTTCCTGTTACTGCTGGCTGTGTGTTCTTGCATGGCAGGGGGTTGGACTGGATAGCGCTTGAGGTCTTTTCCAACTCTAAGATTCTGTGATTCTATGATTCTCTTAATCTAGACACTATTCTCTCAATCAACACAACACTGACTCATGTTCAGCTTTTGGACTACTAAGACTTGTAGATCCCTTTCAGTTGTATTATTTTCAACCAAATTATCACCTATAATTTGCATTTCATTTTTTTCCGGCTAAATGTAGTATCGTACATTTCTCCTTGTTGAAATGCATTTTGTTAATTTCAGTCCAGCTCTCGAATCTGTTAACATCATTTTGGTTTTTGACGCTATCCTCTGGGATATTAGCAATCCCTCTCAATTTGGTGTCATTTGTAAATTCAATAAGTGTGCTCATAATTCCATCATCCAAGTCATTGGTAAATATGTTGAATAGTACAAGACTCAGGATAAAAACCTGTGACACAGCTAGATACTTCTCTTCAGGATGAAAAGGAGAAACTGGTAAGAGAACCTATATTGGCTGACATTCTTTAAACCTCCATTTTATATAATTTACCTCACATTTACTGAACCTGAACTTTGGTTCAGACATTTTCACTTCCAATTGCTGTCTCCATATTTGTGGCAAAAATCAGACCAAATTTAAACTAGGTTTATATATGAATTTTTTAGCTCATCAGTCCATACCTGTCTAGATTTATGGTCCCAGAAGCCCCCAATATAGTCAGCCTATTACACTGGAGCTTTCAAAAGATGATCCCATAAATCTGTCATAGATATTGAACAAGATTCAGCATTCCATCGCATTACTGCCCCAGGTTACTGTGTGAAAGACAAAGGGGAATTAAGACATAAATTGAACATAGGATTTCCTCCTCTTCTATTTCTTATTTTCTGTCCATGAGCAATGAAACTATTATCCTTGTTACTTGGTTAAGATCAGTAAAAATCAGGGTCTACCTTCTGCACAGATGCCAGGCATTTATTGGTACATCTGCCTGGAGAGGAATTTAATTTGTACAGCTGACTTCTCTGACAGATTTTGACTCCTTGATTTTCCTGAAAAGGCAATTCTGTAGTTTGATTGTGTTTGGCTTCTCTGAGCTCTGACACTTCCCTGGGCATATTTCCCTCTAATGGCAATTGATTCTCCATATTTTAAAATGTTATTATTATAATTAGGCAAGGTGAATCTAATAATAAGGTCAGCAAAATTTCAGACTTGCTTTCAAACTTTGCAACAAACCTGGGGACAGGGGCTTCTTTATGACCTTAACTCAATAATCTGAATTTTGATTAGGTTTTATGATTGTTTTAGGTGATAAGTTAAAGGTAGTAAAAACAACCATATAAAATATGTCCAACATAAAACATAATATGAGAAATTTATAAAAATAACTCTCTGTTATCCAAACTATCAGTATTGATTTTTTTTCTTGTATGAAATTCAAGAACATCTTGCAATAGTTCAAGTGATTTAGTGTCTGTCTTGCTGGCTATATTGAGACTTAGGTGTTCATGTTTGGATACCTCAGTTTCAGAAAGATACTGACAATCATTCAGAAAAGAACTGCAAAGATGATATACAGTAGGCAAGCCACAGGCTGGAGGCATTGGGTTCATTTAAGCCTAGGGAAGGGAGACAATAAAAGGAGGCAGTCTGACAGCTCTCTGGTATTGGAAAGGATGTTGGGTTGGGAAATGGCAAGAGACCAGGGTGTTCTCAATGGGCAGGGGCAGCTCAACCCATTATGCAAAGTAAGCATTTGCAGTATAGTTGATTTTGCCCAGGGGCACTCTTGAGGCGCTCTTGGGGGAAAATAGACCTTGACATATGAGAGTTGTAGTTATTGGGATGTATAGTTAACCTACAATCAAAGAGCATTCTGAACTCCACCAATGATGGAATTGAACCAAATATGGCACACAGAACTCCCACGACGAACAGAAAATATATATCAGTGATTGGTTGGGAGGGGGGCACCAAAAAACGGTTTGCTTACCATTGAAAATTACCTAGAGCCGCCTCTGTCAATGGGTGACATCCAATGAAACACAACTAATGGCTTGTCCACATTAGCCCTTTACCCTGAAGAAGACCAGAACCTGAATGCCCAGTCCTTAATACAAATTTAAACACACATTAAGCAAAGTCAGGGAATGTTCTGGAGTTGTTATTATTATTATTATTATTATTATTATTATTATTATTACTACATATTTTATTATGTTATAAACACAAATCAATAAGCCAAATTCCAAGTGTTACACATATAAATCCTGAGTAATTCAACAAATATTAAAGACATTATGCTAATTTACACTGGTGTAGATTACATTATCTCCACCTTCCCTCCCTCTCCCTCCCTCTCAACCACAGTATATTTCTACTAATCTTGCAGATCCAGCCACTGGTAGAGTCTTTGTATTTTTTTTCTTTGATGTGATCGTTGGCTCCTCCATTTTTCACCCAGTTGAAGTAGACCTTCCATCTATTTGTAATGATCTTTTCTTTGTCCATTCTTGGTGCTTGCTTAGTCATAATTCCCGTAATATCTAACAGCACTTGGTCATACATATAATCATTCCAATTACTTAACGTCCATTTCGATTTGTCTTTCCATCCTCTAGCAATCACCGCATGGGCTGCTCTTATTGTTAGCATAAATAACTACTGGCAATTAGTTTTTATACTCGGATGATCCAACACTCCCCATAGTAGCAAATCATTATTAATTTGAATTTTTATCTGGAATATCTCCTGAATTTTTCCTTGTATCATTTGCCAGAATTTCTTTATTTCAGAACACTCCCACCACATGTGTGAATAAGTACCTTTTTCTTTATTACAATGCCAAAATTCTTTCCTTTTATATGGATAAGCCAATTGTTCAGGAGTTCTATACCACCTTAATATCATCTTTTTTTCTAATTCATTATATTTTTCTGTTTTTATTTTATTCATGTTCCTAATTATTTCCTCTATTTCTTTTGCCTGTAATGATTTAACTCCATTCCATTTGTTACTTATTGCTCTAATCATAAACTCTTTATCTTCTACCATTAAATTATATATTTTTGCCACTGTTCCTTTACTTGTTTTTTCTCTTGCATTTAGCAATTTATCTACCTTTAGTTCTTCAGTGGCCTGTGCACCCTCTTTTTTACTTTTTTCCAAATCCCTCTTAATTTTAACCAATTTTCTTTTCCCTCCTTTTCCAAAAACTCTGGCCAATTAATTATCTCTCCATCTTGTTTCCACATATCTTTTACCCTCCTTAATCCCTTTATTATTATTATTAAAGTTTATTTACACCCTGCCACCATCTCCCCTCAGGGACTCGGGGTGGCTAACATGAGGCCAAGCCCAACAATACAGTAAACAAATATTTATTTATTTTATTTACTACGCTTATATACCGCAATTCTCAGCCTACTGGCGACTCATTGCGGTGTACAACATAGAAAAAAGGTGCAGAATACAACATACAATAAAACAATCCACAGTACATAATTATCAACATCATCAAAACATCAAAACATCAACCTTACTACAATACCATTCCGAGTCGTCTCATCGTCCAATTCACAATCCGATGCCATTTCCGTTGTTACATTCCTATGGTCAAGTTACCAGTCATTGCACTTCTATTCAAAAGCCTTCTTAAACAACCAGGTCTTCAGCTTCCTGCGGAAGATCAACAGGGAGGGGGCTAACCTGATGTCTACGGGAAGGGTGTTCCACAGCCGAGGAGCCACCACCGAGAAGGCCCTATCTCTCGTCCCCGCCAGCCGTGCCTGAGATGCAGGCGGGATCGAGAGCAGGGCCTCCCCGGAAGATCTCAAAGTCCTCGTGGGCTCATAGGCTGAGAGGCGGTTAGTTAGGTATCTTGGGCCGGAACCGTTTAGGGCTTTATAGGCCAGTGCCAACACCTTGAATTGAGCCCGGTAGCAGATCGGCAGCCAGTGGAGCTGGTACAGCAGGGGGGTTGTATGCTCCCTGTGCCCCGCTCCTGTTAGTATCATGGCTGCCGCACGTTGGACCAGTTGGAGCTTCCGGGCCGTCTTCAGAGGCAACCCCACGTAGAGAGCGTTGCAGTAGTCTATAAACTGGTTGTAACCAAAGCGTGGACCACCGTGGCCAAGTCAGACTTCCCAAGGTGTGGGTGCAGCTGGCGCACAAGTTTTAATTGTGCAAAAGCTCCCCTGACCACCGCCGAAACCTGGGGCTCCAGGCTCAGTTATGAATCTAGGAGAACTCCCAAGCTGCGAACCTGCGCCTTCAAGGGGAGTGCGACCCCGTCCAGCACAGGCTGTAACCCTATACCCTGTTCGGCCTTGCGACTGACCAGGAGTACCTCTGTCTTGTCTGGCTTTAATTTCAGTTTGTTCGCCCTCATCCAGACCATTACAGCGGCCAGGCACCGGTTCAGGACCTCGACAGCCTCCTTAGTAGCAGGTGGAAAGGAGTGACAGAGTTGGACATCATCTGCGTACAGATGACACCGTACCCCGAAACTCCGGATGATCTCACCCAGCGGCTTCATGTAGATATTAAACAGCATGGGGGACAGTATAGAGCCCTGAGGAACCCCACACGACAAAGGTTGTGGGGTTGAACAGGTGTCCCCCAATAACACCTTCTGGGACCGACCCTCCAGGAATGACCAAAGCCACTGTAAAACAGTGCCCCCGAGACCCATCCCTGCAAGGCGTTCCAGAAGGATACCGTGGTCGACGGTATCGAAGGCCGCTGAGAGGTCCAGGAGCACCAACAGGGACACACTCCCCCTGTCGAGCTCCCGGCGCAGATCATCCACTAAGGCGACCAAGACTGTCTCGGTTCCATGTCCCGGTCTGA